CTGTCATTATTTCTGAGCTCCGCGCCTGAGTCCACTCTTTAACAACCGTGACACCTTTATTTAAACATAAATGCATCTAGTTTTAGGTTTACACTAGTCAAAAAAGCAATATGAGTTTTATATCATGAATATTTGAATATGTTCTCCGTCTTTGTTTTAATCCATTTCTCAGCATATAATTTCAATCCCTTAGATAACACAAACTTGAGTAGTTGTTAGTTCCTGTTGATTTTAGTCAACGGCAGGGCTATAATTTGTTTACCGAGTACAAATACGCTCACTTCAACTCCTTAGAAAAGGTTCAGTTTACTACATTATTATGCCAGTGGTCTCAAAAATACAAATAATCAGTGTGTGCACAACACTGTGATCAGTGTCAGCATGCTGCAAATGACAAAGCTGCTCCAGGCCAGTTCATTTGCATGCCAGATGCCGGCGTGCAGGTCTGAACTGTTGCTGCAGCCTTACGTGACCCTGAGAGCGCCACGTCTGAACTTGGTGAAAATGTGACGAGACAAAGATCAGCTGCTCCGACCTGTACCTCTCTGCCAGTCATACAGCTGCATCCCAGGAAAATGTCAGGAAACACTGTCAGAGCAGAAAAGGCCCGAGATACTCAGGGTCGATGTAATCATCACTGGCAGCCACAACCGATGACCACTGCACAGCTGCAGGCTACACCCAGGAATGCAGAGCAATTCCTTAGCAGCTAATCCTTACACTTGTGCAGCGCACAGATGGCTGACTGCTTGCTTCACATCCACAGGCCATCATGTTAAATGTCTCATATATACATATTTTATAGTGTTGGTCTATAAAACCTAATATAGCTCAAATTTTGAATACGAAAGTTAAAAAGGTAGCACGCCACAAAGTTCTCCAGCTGGTCGTGGGAATTGTACAGTTTTATGAGAACGTAAGAACCATGAGAGTGAATAAAGCTGTAGCTGTGCAACAAACTTGCCCATTGAAAGCCAAGATGTGAATCATCTTTCTAGGCTCATCTGTCTTTCAGATTATGTGTAGGGGTGCAACGATACTCGTATCGATATTGAACCGTT